CCCTCCCTCCCCCTTCCCTCTGAGAGCCCTCAGTCTGTCCCATGCTTCCATGTCTCTGGATCTATTTTGTTCATTAGATTGCACACTGAACATTTATCTTAGATTTGCATATTCATAGGTCTTTTTCAGACGAGAGCATTCACATATCTACAAATTATACACACAGTATTTATACCTCAGTTCGGTCATAAAAATTACCTTAAATTTTTTAAAAAGTTGCTTTATTACTTCTTCAGTGTTCATGTTACTATTTATTCTGACCTTAGTTTCTGATCCAAAGGCTGGAGTGAAAATTGATGTCTGAAAAAAAGATTGTCATATAAGTCTTTAAATTACATCAAAGTAACAACAGCCAATATTTTGAAACTGGCTTTCTTTGGGGGGAAAAAATCCAAGGTCACCAGTATAAAAAACTTATTTTCTTGTTCTTGCTTTCTTTGTTGTTGTACATTATGTCTCCTTTTAAGCAGACTTACATTGTTCAAAATAGTTTCACTAGGTAATCACACCATTCTTTAGTATAATTTAGGATTTCAAAATAAGTTAATTATTATAACTAAACGCAAATAAAAATGAACATGAATAGGCTTTTTCAAGCTCACATGCAGCACCTTCCTCCTGCTTAGAAATAATTGTTTGAAATTGTTTTTAGTTTGCACCATATGAAATCACTCATTTTTGGTTGGTCAGAAACGATCCGATGTTGGCAATTTCATATGGTTCAGCCTATATCTCAACTAAGGGTTGAAGTAAAAGTTCTACCAATTGAAGCTCTAGAACAGTATTTCCCACAGCTTGCTCTAATCAAGAGCCTGTCTCCCAGATAATACTTGATAAAAGTGGTCAGATAAGTGGGATATCCCTCTTGGAGTTAGTGATGCATCATAAAAAAATGTAATAAAAAACATATAACCATGAATTGTTCACTCTTTTTAAAAATTTTATTTATTGATTTGAGAGAGAGAAAGGAAGGTGGGGAGAGAGGGAGAGAGAGAGAGATTGACTTATTGTACCATTTATTTATGCATCATGGTTGCTTCTTGTATGTGCCCTGCCTGGGGATTGAACCCACAGCCTTGGCGTTTCTGGGACGATGCTCTGACCCACTGAGCCACCCGGCCAGGGCTCCGAATTGTTCACTCTTAGTTTGATCATGATTCCCATTTTAATATAAATACTATCCCTTTTAGATATGCCTGTTAATAGCCAATGGAGCATACTTTGGAAAAAGCTGGTCAATAATATCTGCTTAGCTAGGATTTCCTTAACTTGCACATGTTTCATGGCTACATATGTGCACAGGGGTTAAGACGTGTTGGTACTTAGGCAAGGGCTGATCTGTCTACTCGGGAAGTCCACATATAAGCAGATTAGTGGTTCTTAGGCAGAATATGTAATTCCTGAAAGTAATGGTATTATTCCAAAGAATGACATAGAATTCTTAAATAATTGTTTTTTCCTTTATTTTATTTTTTCCAATCAAATAATTATTAATTTAATACAGTTGTAATCATGTCCCAAGATCTATTCTAAGCCCTTTATAAATACAAATTTAATCTTTATAACAACTAAAAATAGGCTAAATTAAATTTAAATTCTATGATACAAATGATATGTAAGGCATGAATGAGTCACAAATATCACAATGTAAGCCTCTAATGTGGGTGTTATCCCCAGCCTAACAATACTGGCATTACCAAGAGATTTCATGGTATAAAAAACACATTTAAAGACTATATCAATTTAAGTTAATGAATGCTTATAACTGCATACCCACTGATAGAATGCTTTGGGTTGTGGGGTTTTCTTTAATCTTTTTCCCCCCGCTAGTTATTAAATTGCAGTGGATGACATTTGTATGAAATACTCGTAGTCCCAGCTTGATCTCTTTCAATTCACAACAATAAAGCTAATGTAAACTGAATTCTTCCTTTGCGTTAGGCACTGTGCTTAACTCACCTTATTTCATTTAACCACATCAACAACTCTGTAATGTAGGAAGAATGAAGGAACTAAGGCTTAGAAATTGAGTAAATTTTTAACTTCGCTTAGCAAGAATTTGAAATCAGGTCATCAAGCTATAGCACCCTCGCACTAAATCGTTTAACCACGATACCATGCGGCCCACTTAGTGCCAATTTCGTTCTTAGCACAGGATCCATCTGAAAGCCAATTATTTGGTACAATGTGGCTTTCACAGCCTTTTAAAACATAAATCACCCCACAAGATGCCCACACACAGCATAATTCTGAGGAGAACAGGGCGATCTGTAGTTGCACATCTGGTGGAGACTGTCAATGTTCCTTTGTGGCAGGAGGATAATCCTTGAACCAAAAAAGTATCTAATTTGAACAATGAATTCAGAAGAGAGTTTTGCTCCTGCCAGTCTCCAAAGGCACGATGCTGATACTCTCACAGGGGTGGAAGAAGAAGGGATAGGATAAAAAGCCCAACAGGAAAAAGTTTCATAAATGAGTTAATATTTTGCTTTAAAGGGCTAAGAGTGGTGCCTGGCACAGGGTAAGTGCTTTAGAAGTATTCATTCAATGAATGGATGAAGGATTGCTAAAATACATGACATGAAAAATATTTGTTTTAGAAAAATAACATATTTTCCACCTTTAGTAAAGTGAAATGTCTTACAAATAGTATGGAAAGGCACATGTAAATGTAACACATAGTAAGTGGAAAATCAGAATACAAATGATATTGAAACTACAGCTATACTTGTATAGAAAATGACATGTGTGTTTGTACAAAACCTGGAAGGGACCATGAAAAATGAGAAATTTGATTTATTGGAGTAAATAGGACTTAAAAAAAATTTTTTAACGTTATTTCAATGCTAATGTTTGGTGCATTTTAAATCAAACTCTGTTGTAGCACTTACATTATTCTAATGCCATTTGTCAATGTATTGGTTTCTTTGCCCGCGTCCTGAGCTCCTTTCTGGCACAGACATCAACTGATTCATCTTTATATTTCCAGTGCTTGGCACAGTACCTGCCACTTAGTTAGGGTTCATCCATCGTGGCGGCTAACAGTTTGGGTTCTGGAGTCAGACAAGGCTGGGTTCAAGTTCAAAATTACCACTTAAAACCAGTGTGACCCAAGACAAATTGCCTGAACCTCAATTAACTCATATGTAAAGTAGGGAAAATCGTGGGACCTACTTCATAGCATTGTTACAGTGATTAATGAGATAATTCATCAAAAATCTACTTAGCCCGGCCAGGTGTGGCTCAGCGGTTGAGGGTCAACCTAGGATCCAGGCTATTGGGGCTTGATTCCCGGTCAGGGCACAGGCCCGGGTTCCAGGCCCGATCCCCAGTGGGGGGCGTGCAGGGGGCAGCCGATCAATGACTCTCATCACTGATGTTTCTCTCTCCCTCCCTCTCCTTTCCTCTCTCTGAAATCAATAAAGATATATTTTAAAAAAATCTATTTAAAATAGGCTGATCCATAACTCACACATAAATATTAGATACACTACTACTATTGCTATTACTATGTTAATTGTAAGGTGAATTGAATAGCATCGGCGGCAGAGACAACACTTTTAAATGACAGCAACAGGACGAACTCACTTCATGGCTGTAAAAGTGCCCGGCAATAGAGGCTCTATGTCTCTGCCTGTCTCTTCTGCCCCCCACGGGAGGCTTGGTCCTTTGTCTCACCAGGGTCGCGTCGCTCACGGTTCTGTAGAGAAATGGAGATTCTGCCTGGTCATCGGCATGAGGCCTCAGAGTGCGGCTGTGATAAGACAGATCGTCTGGGAAGAATAAAGATGATAAGCGCATATCATTGAGCTGCCCACCTCTGCATCCTGGGGGACCTGTGTGTGTATTTAATAATACGAGCTAAGCAATGGACTCTAGTGCTTTCAAACAGTGAGGAACTAGCAACGCTCTGTGTAAGAATAGGCCTGCTGGTGGCATCTGTGTTCTATTTGACCCTGAGATTTTCAATAATTTCCTATTGTAATTAGCGTATCATGAAAGAGGCATGAGATATTTCATCTTTCTCTAGCACTGGTTGCCAAATACAAATAGATTTCTATTGTGTCTTTGAAATTTCCCTGGGTTTAGATATTTTTCCCCCCAAGGGACTAATTGGAAAGATCCTTAACTAAAAGATGTCAAGAGGCCATAAGACACAGATAAGGGAATCCTGGAAGGAACATCATGTTTGTTATAGAATATGGATTGTTACAGTGACAGGAATGGAAGCTGAATTAAGAATGGTTTAAAAAAACAACAACTAAGCGTTGGAAGTTGTTGGTAGACTCAGGAAGGTAATGCCAACAGGAACCTTTGTTCAGTCCAAAGCCAGCTTGGTAATATCACCACCAGGAACATAAACCCACCCCCAGCCTCAGCCAGCCTCCTTCTTGGATCTCTACATATTATACAAAAAACAAAAATCCATGTAAAATATAAGATATCACACCTGACACTTAGTAGTCTCAGTAAATGATAGGCATTAATATCATTACTATCACGATTATTATTGCTATGACTACTGATGCCACGTCTTATAGGAGCTGGCATTTTCCATTGCTTTGGCAAATTGATATGAACTCATTTGATATTCAAATAGATTTCTCTCTTTGTAAAACAAATGCTTGAAATAACTATCAAATATAAATAGTAAACTCAGTATATCCACCTCTTTCTGAGAAGCAATGTTATGTAAATATCTACCTAACTAAAACGTTTAACTTCTAAAAAGATGTGAAGTTCAGTCTGAAAGGCATAGCCTAACATAAAAAGCTACTGAAAATAATAAACAATCCTAATCCTTGGGGAAAATATTGAACAATTTTATGAACACAAATTTTATTCAAACCATTAGCTCTCCCTAATCTAATAAATCTAAGTGATTTGATGTAATTTTTAAAAACCATCATATTTTTATATAGCCAAGTAACCTTACTAAGCATCATACCAGAACTGTAGTGATTTAAGTTAGTGTGCTCCTACAAGCCTTTAAAAAAAAAAAAAAAAAAAGGAATTTATTATGTAGCAGTATGTAAAATGTTAAATTTCAGAGAAACATTTATGATTCATACTTTAAAGTCTCATTAATAACAGTTTGACACTGACCTTCCTGGGAATTCATCACTTCAGATACTGGAATCTGGGTCCTGTCCAGTTCACTAATATGATAAAGATCATCAAATTCTCCCCAGCGTGTCATTCCCCTGAAAAACAATAAATCTTATAAGTGACATCAACTCCATTCAAGATGAGGTCTCTGCTGGTTTTCAGACTTACAGTATTTATATTAGTACTGTGGGCCTCTGGGCCTCTATAGGTAGAAATATCACCCTAATTTATAACAATTTTACATTAAAATAATATTTATACCAGAGTGGTCAGCATGTGTTTTCAATACTTCCCTAACTTATTTTGAACATATCTTGACACAATAATTCAATTGCACACTGAAACACAAGGTTATATAGATTCTGTAAAACGTATGTGCAAAAAGAATTAGTAGAAACCAACATAATCCATTATTATACAAAGATCTTATAATGTTCTCAAGAGAGTTTAGATAAAAAAGTGTTCATTCCACCAACCCGCATTGAGTTACTTGTTAATTTTTTTCCAAAGCACTGTTAGGTAAAGTGGCTCCCAAATAATAAGATACAGTGCCTGTCTTTAAGGCCTTGACTACTATGAAGAATGCAGTTTACAAGGGAGGAAAGTGTATGGAAATTTCTTTCCTAGAAAATTATGATTTACATCAGATGCTAACAATTGCTAACAATTGCCAATGCATTCTAATGCCCAGAATAAATAAAGCTGGGCAACTACTTATTTTTTCCAGGTGGGCCAACACTCATCTTTATTTTGTTTATCTGGCCTTAGATAAGTTACTTATCTTCTCTGTGTCTTTTCTATAAAATGGGGATGATAACAGGATCAGCTAAGATAAGATGGTTGAGAAGGTTGAGTGATTTGCATAAAATTCTTAAAACAGTGCCCAACAGTGTATTAAATGATCATAACTGTCTTCATCCTCACTGTCATCCTCCTCATAATCATCATTATCTGAATCTACTTCATGATGGTCCAGGAACCATTAGAGACCTAAGATATCCCTGGATCTCTCTAGGTTGGTTAATGGATACTATTATTAACAGAACCAGTCTTAGTCCTACTATGAATCTCTTTCATAATGTCTGTTTTCCTTAACACCAAAAAATATTCACCTATATGGTATTTGTGACATTAACTCTGGTGGAAACAAAAAATGCTTATTAATACTAGTGGTCAATATCTGCAGATCAATAAATGTGATACACCACATAAAATGAAGGACAAAAATCACATGATCATATCAATAGATGCAGAAAAAACGTGATAAAATCCAGCACTGATTTATGATAAAAACTCTCAGCAAAGTGGGAATAGAGGGATCATAGCTCAACATAATAAAGGCCATATACAAACCCACAGCCAACATCATACTCAATGGGCAAAAGCTACACGTGTCTCCCTTAACATCAGGAACAAGATAGGGATGTCTGCCTTCACCACTCTTATTCAACATAGTACTAGAAGTCCTGGCCAAAGAAATCAGATGAGAATAAGAAAGAAAAGGCATCCAAATTGGAAAGGAAGAAGTAAAATTGTCATTATTTAAAGATGACATGATACTGTATATAGAGAATCCTAAAGATTCCACCAAAAACTACTAGACCTGATAAATAAATTCAATAAAGTAGCAGGATACAAAAGAAATATCCAGAAATCAGTTGCATTTTTATATACCAATAATGAACTATCAGAAAGTGGAACTAAGAAAACAAACCCATTTACAATTGAATTAAAAAAAATACCTTGGAATAAATTTAACCAAGGATGTACTTGGAAAATGATAAGACACAGAAAGAAGAAAGAAACTGAAGAAGATACAAGTAAGTGGAAACAAATACTGTGTTCATACTGCCCAAAACAATCTACAGATTCAGCACAATTTCTAGCAAGGTACCAATGGCGGATTTCACAAAGCTAGAACAAAGATTCCAAAAATTTATACGGAACCACAAAACATCCCAAATAGCAACCTTGGGAAAAAAGAACAAAGTTGGAGGAATCACACTACTTCATATCAAACTATACTATGAGATCATAGTAATCAAAACAGCATGGTACTAGCATAAAAACAGACATATAAATCAATGGAACAGAATAGAGATTCCGGAAATTAACCTTCACATTTATGGTCCATTAATATTTGACAAAGGAGGTAAAAACATACAATGGGATAAAGACAGTCTATTCAACAAATGGTGTTAGAAAAATTGAACATATACTCACAAAAATATAAAACCTTCTTACATCAAATCCAAGAATAAACTCAAAATGGATTAAAGACTTACATGTAAGACTCAAAACCATAAAAATCCTAGAAGAAAACATAGGCAGCAAAATCTTGAACATTTGCTTATTTTTTCTGATATGTCTCCTTGGGCAAGGGAAACAAAAGAAAAATTAAATAGGACTACATCAAACTAAAAAGTTTTTGCACAGCAAAGGAAATCATCAACAAAATGAAGACAACCCACTGAATGGGAGAACATATTTGCCCATGATACATCTGAAAAGGGGTTAATATCCAAAATGTATAAGAACGTATACAACTCAACACCAATAAACAAACAATCCAATTTAAAAAATAGGCAAAGAAACTGAACTTCTCCAAAGAGGACATTCAGAAGCCACAGACATATGAAAAGATGCTCACATCACTAATCATTAGAGAAATGCAAATTAAAACCACAATGAGATATCACTTCACACTTGTCAGAATGGCTGTCTTCAAAAAATCAACAAACAAGTTGGCAAGGATGCATAGAAAAGGGAACTCTGGGGTACTCCTTGTGGGGATGCAGACTGGTGCAGCCACTATGAAAAACAGGACAGAGTTTCCTCAAAAAAATTAAAAAAGGAACTGCCTTATGACCCAGAGATTCGTCTTCTGGGAATATATCCAAAGAAACCCAAACCACTGATTAGAAAGAATATATGCACCCCATATTCGTTGCAGTTATTTACAATTGCCAAGATTTGGAAGCAGCCCAAGTGCCCATCAGTAGATGAGTGGATAAAAAAGCTGTATTACCTTTACATGATGGAATACTACTCAGCCATAAAAAAGAAGGAAATCTTAACCTTTTGCAACAGCATGGATGGCCCTGGAGAGTATTATTCTAAGTGAAATAAGCCAGTCAGAGAAAGACAAATACCATATGATTTTTCTTATATGTGGAAACTAACAAACAAAATAAACAAAATAGAAACAGACTCATAGATATAGAAAACAGACTGACAGCAGTTAGAGGGGAGGGTGGGGGCTGAGGGGGGTTGAGTGAAAAAGGTGAAGGGATTAAGCAAACAAACAAACAAACAAACTCATAGACACAGACAACTGTATGATGGTTACCAGAGGGAAAGGGGTGGGGGGAGGTAGGAGAGGGTAAGGGGGGCAAATGGTGACAGAAGGAGTCTTGACTTTAGATGGTAAGTGCACAGTGCAATATACAGATGATGTATTATAATATTGTATGCCCGAAACCTGTGTAACTATTAACCAATGTCACTCCAATAAATTCAATAAAAATTTAAAAAAAATACTAATGGTGATGAATATGAATAAATGTGATTCTTTTTTCCCCTTGATCTTTGAGTTGTTTTGAGGCCTTTTTACAACTTTCACATCATTTGAACCTCACAATAGCTTTAGGAAGGAGATAAGGGAATCATAATATATTTGTTATTTAATTTCCCAGTGAACTCTACTATCCAGCATAGAGCTAGTCAAAACAAAGGTTGTAATGTCCAAAAACTATAGGTAATAACTTTAACTCAAAGAAGTATTCAGGTCCTGACTCATATGAATCTGGTTATTCTTATGATAGACGAAATTATCCATTTCCCCCAATGTATAGAAGATGAATAAATGAAGGAAGCAGATATAATTATCATAAAAAGGGGTAGCAACTGAAAAGACAGAACACCAAAGAAGAGCAGAAACTAAAAAGGCGAAGCCACCTGGTGCTCTTTCATGAGGGGCAGATGAGAGGCGCAAGAATGCCCAACCAGTGGTGAACTATAAATTCTTGGAAACCCTGGCAGACTTGACACCTCTTCTCACTTTCTTATAGCTTAGTGGTGTCCCCCTACTATAGGGAGACAGGCATGGCTCCATATAAGCAGTGTTTCACCCGTTCCTTCCTACCATCTTAGGAGACTACACCAAGTTTAGCTCTGGATTGTGTAATCTGAAGTATCACCATATACAACAGTGCACATGGCCAAGTTTGAGGGCAATTACCCAAAGTTTTCCAAAGAAAACTGATTGGAATTTTATGTAATATCAAATAGTTTAACTTGCCCCAGTACAAGACTATTTGCATCGCTCTGACCAAGCTTGAGGATGTATACCATTAGCTAATTCAAACTGCGGGGAGGCTCCCCAATGAGTTGCAAAAGCAAAAGGAGGTTGAAATTTGATAGACAAATAGAGTTCGGTCACTCCTCTGCCCATATCGTAAGAAAGGAAAAAACACTATTGGTATTATTCAAATGTACACCTGTCCAGTTTCTGCTCTTTATTTCATTCCACTATGACTTGTCCAAAATGTGCCAAAGCTGACTTTGGAAAGATATGAAAAGCGGAAATAAAAACTGATACAAGCAAACAGAATAAGGCTGTCTTTTTGTTTTTGTTTTTAAATAAAAAATTTCCAAAAGAAAATACTTGGACCAGATATGAGAGATCAAAGTACGGTCTGTGGAATTCATTCCATAAAGGATTACAAGTGCTCACAGCTCAAACAAACTTATTTTAAGCTTCTGCCCTCCCATTAAGCTGACTCAGTGTGACTCATGTCTAACGTAATTAAAACAAACTATCATAACTAGCCGACGATTCTCTCAAAGGGGGAACTGAAGGAGAAGACGGCAGCCCAGCCGAGTACACAGCCTCCACTTCCTTACCCCACCCACTGGAGATGCCAGGCCCGTGATCCGGTGGCAGCAGAGGTGTCGGCTCTGCCCATGGGAACCTGGGACGGGGAAGGGAGCACGAGAGCAGCTTTAGAGAGCCAGGCCAGTCCATTTCATCTGAGCTCGGTGTTTAAATGAACGACGGTGTCTAAGATTAGGCGGAAACAAAACTAGTACCTTAGGTGACTGCGCAGCCCACTGGGAAACCAGAGGCCGGGGAGCAGACACCTCAAATTATGCTGCGCCTTCCCGCTGAGTGTTCAGCTGGTTCCCAGGAAGGAGTCTCGGCTAATTAGCCACAACTGAATCTAACCTTGGAGGGTGAAGGAGAGGAGAGAGGTCTTTTCCTGACAATTCTCACCCGCCAGAAAGATCTGATCCGCTGCAAGTGTGCGCTCAGATGTTCTCCCATAAGTCTCATTATTGTGGTAAAAATCAGGCAAAGTTTTCTAGGGAATTCTTTCTTAATCTTAAACTAAAGGAGATAATTCCTGTCTAGTTCACAACAATGTTCTGATAAACAATGGAAAATGGAAATGGAGTCCACGAAGTACATCATGAGGATATTAATTTATAATCTGCCACAGGATGTGGAGAGGCATCGTTACTGCTGTCTCTCCCTGGGTCCTTAAAACATTGAGGATTTCTAGGAACAGGTTTCTTGTATTTTAGATTGAGACATTAAAAAATATCTTGAAACATTCAAAATAATGATGCTTAGTGTGATAATCCAATACCTTACTGCATCCCCTTGACATCTTCCCGTAATGTTCCAGACTCATCAAGTTTTCACGAATCAAATCATTAAAATGCATCACACGGAGCTGGCTGCTCAGAGAACTTGGTAATGAGTTCTTAGGTAATATGATAGCTAATTTTGCCAAATTATCTTGCACGGTTTTCTAAAACAGGGCCCACGGGTAATTTTTCCTGTTCAGTGATGCTCCTAGCCATTTAAAATCATCGGCCCATCCGTCACAGAGTACCTGCAGGTGAGGGGTCAGGGCCTTGTCGGCTCCCAAGCCTCTGGCCTTTTTTCCACTCGGGGCCCCTTGCCCATTGGCAACCCTTAGCGTGGACGGAAGACTAGTCAGAAGTGCGTATGTATGGACAGTTCCCACAGCAGAGCGCATTTAAGCTCCCGGGGGCTTCAGCTGGTCCTGCGTTTCGAGCCCCTTCTGCGCCAAGCGCCCTGCCGAGCACCGGGCCGGCAGGAATGAGTGGGACACGCTCCTGTGCTCGGGAGCCCGCAGGCGAGTGGGGCGGGAGGGGCGCAGCAGTGTCGTCGGGGGCTCTGGCTGTGGATGGAAGGCTGCCGGGCCCCCAGCGCACGCCGAGGGCCAGAACAGGCTTTCGGTGGCATCCAGCCCGAGCCCCGACGCTTCAGGCATCGGCGGGGAGATGGGCAGGCGGGTGTGGGGAAGCCGGCGGGGCTCCAGGCAGAGCCAGGGGGGCCAGAGGCCGCGGGGACCGACGACAGGCCAGGCTGCCCCGAGCACCACGTCGGAGAAAGGTCCGCAAGGCGCACATCCCGGTGGGCGCCAGTTTCCTTGGCAGGCAAAGCAGAGCGGCCCTGGGGGTGGGACCCGGCTCTCCCGGGATGGCACAGGCCGGCCTGGGAAAAGGCCTTGGCAGCTCCCTGGTCTCCGCTGCACTCTCGCCCGGCTACCCGGGGGGGATGGCTGAGGTGAAGGGCTGCACCTTCACATGCACACCAGGGGGACACGAGCCGCGGCCTCGAGGACTAGAAAGGGAGGGGGCCGTGTGACAGACCCATTTCTAGTGCTCTCAGGCATCGCCACGCGGTTTCCTAAGGGCTCTCAAAGGCGCCCTCCACAGCCTCGCCAGCACCCGCTCTTGCTGACTCTGGCAGCAGCTGAGCTGTCCCGGCTGCTGTGAGGCGGGTCTCCCCGCTGCTTCGCCATGCGGAGCGCCTTTCCTGTCTCTTGGCCGTTTTTATGTCTTCTTTGGAGAAATGGCTGTCCTCTGCCCATTTTTTGATCAGATTGTTTATTTTTTTGTTATTGAGTTGTATGAGTTTCTTATATATTTTGGATAATTCCTGACCAGATATATTATTTGCAAATATTTTCCCCCATTTTTTACCTGTCTTCTCACTTTTTTGACGGTTTCCTTCGCTGTGCAGAAGCATTTTAGTTTGATAAACTCCCATTTGTCTAGTTTTGCTTTTGTTTCCTTTGCTCAAGGGGTTATATTCAAATGGTATTATTCAGAATTATATCAAGTAGTTTTCCACCTATGTTTCTTCTAAGAATTTTATGGTTACCATACAACCCAGCAATTCTACTTCTGGATGCTCATTCGGAGGAAACAAAACACTAATTTAAAGGGGTATATGCACCCCTACGTTTGTTGCAGCATTACTTACAGTAGCCAAGATACGAAAGCAACCAGGTATCCATCCAGAGAGAATTAAATAAAAGACACACACACACACACTGAAACATTACTCAGCAATAAAAATTAAAAAAAAAGGAATGAAATCCTGCCATTTGAGACAGCACCGATGAACCCTGAGGGTATTATACTAAGTGAAATAAGTCAGATAGGTGAAGACAAATGTTACATGATTTCGCTTCTATGTGGAATTTTAAAAAAATATCAAAAGAAACAAACAAACAAAACAAAAACAGACTCAGAAACAAAGAACAAACTGATGATTGCCACAGGGCAAGGGGGTAGAGGGATGGGTGAAAAAGGTGAAGGGGAATATAGTTAGTAATAGTGTTAAAAGTTTGCACAGTGACAGATGGTTACTAGACTTACTGTGGTGTTTACATAGTAAGATACATAAATGTTGAATCACTCTGTTGTACATTTGAAACTAATATAATATTGTATACCAACTATGCTTTAATAAAAAAATTAAAATAAAAAAAAGGAAGGTAGGGAAAGAGGGAGGAAGAAAACAGAAAAAATATACATATGATTCCTTCTGAAGCAAGGAGGTATATTTATTAGCTTTTTTAAAAATTATAAAAGGTAATGAAAAAATCAGCCCAACATATTTATTCAAGATACAGTTGCATAAACCCACAGAGATGACTGTTTTGTGCATTTTACTGCGCTTCAAATACACTTTGCTGTGCCTTGTTGAACAGGATCAGGACAGTCAGGTGGGGCATAAGTAAGTCTCCTTTCCAGAAAGCAGAAAGAGCCCTTTGCTTCAAGAGAAATTTAAATTTTATTCCCTGTGTGTGTGTGTGGCTAATGAAATACTGCCCTCACATTTTGTCTTTTCCAATGAAGGAATGCAGTCTTCCAGGAGAGAAGCAATACAGCAGCGAGGCCGAGAGCACGGGTTCTCGAACCTGTAACCTGAGGCTCAGTCCAGTTCTGCTACGTGCTTATTGGAGATCTTGCATAACTGCCTAACCTCTCGGGGCTCTGGCTTCTGAACACCTACTTCACAGAGGTGCTGAGGGATTACACGAAACTGTATATAAGCATTTAGAAGAGCTCCCATCTTTAAGAGTGCATGCAATAAAAGTAAATATGAAGATTATCTAAAGAATTGAAACCATGAGTGGTAGCTTACATTTTGGAAAAGACATCTGGTGACTTCCCAGTAAAAGAAGGCATGTGCTTCTCATCTTGAATTTTCAGCTGTATAGGCTGTTTTACTCCCCAGAAAATGTCCAGCATTCCTTCAACAATTAGTTTACCATCTTCAGTCTAGGGAAGAAACCAATATTCTCAAACAGTGTTTTTGTATTATTTATAAAGAGTAATTGTTTTAACTGAAGACGGGGAAATTATGTAAAACATCTTAATAAATGAAAACATGAATTCCCAAGTGTGATTGTTTGGCTTTTCAACTTACCTACAAAATAATTCTATTTTTGAAACATTGTTTTATTTTTGAAAACAGCTATAACTAGCGAAGTAAGTCATAATGGTGATGACATGCCCATCAGAGGGCACAGTATGTTAAAATGCTTTCTGAGCTCTATGATTCTTCAATTAAGTGGAAGTTTAATTCTCTAATTCTGTTTAACTTAAAATTCAAGTAGAATTAAAAACTGTACAAAGCTAAGAATCAGAAGAGCAACTGTTGAGAGATTTAGTGGCTCTTTCCTCATTCTGAACAGGAAAATTTTAACTTACAAAGTTATGCGGAATGAATAAAATAATGTATGTGAAAACAGTGTAAAATGTAAAACAAAATTATATTTTAAAAAAATCAAAAGCATTTGAAGAATTTATTTTAAGTTGGAAATATTATAACAAAAGAAGGATACTCCATGCAAACAAACAAAAATTAGCAAACATCTATCGAATATTTACTTATTTAGTGGATGTAAATATCAATACCAAAGCACATTCTCATAGAACTTATTTTCTAATCTATTTTTCTCTTGTATATGTAAGTCTTTGTGTTATTAAAGCAATGTGTTAGCACTATAGGCAATTTGGAAAATATAGAACTAAGAAGAGTCATATTCTAACTATCCAATAACTACTGTTATTATGAAAAATCAGTTATTACAAAACATAAATTACTCAATTCTTATTCGAGAGTGTAAGGAAACTCCAGACTCTGGAATCAGATAGACCTGTGTTCAAACTCTGGCCCTGCCGCTTCCTGCTGTGTGGCCTGGGCAAGTTGCTGAAGCCTTTCAACCCGGTTGCTCCGTTTGAAGAAGGAACATCGCAGTGGTGCTAACTAACAGGGCCCGGTATTTACTACATGCCCAATGAATATTCATACTTATCATTTCCTTGGCTGATAAACCTACTTTGGAGCCACTTCAGAAACAAAGTCTTGTTCTTTTCCTCACTTTCAAGTTCACATTTCAGATAACTGAGAGGTCAGGTGATCACAAAGTTGTTTTTAACAACAAAACATAATTTGTTCTTTGAAGTGGAAGTACATGATAAAGACACTGCATTTCAGCAGCGACGTATAGCGTCCTTTCTTTGCCTAATTATAATTCAGTTAATCCCTTACCACAAACATTCAAAGGGAACTGCTTGTATGAGGTTATAGAATTCTTGCTTTTAAGAAGAAATATTCCAGCCATCATGTAAGGAATATCAGAATATTTCCTAATCTCAGAAAACATCTTTTTTCAGATTATCTAAATAATTTTCCCTGAAGGCTTATTTACACTTACGAAATTTCCCTGTCTGATTCTTAGGTGGCTTCTCTTCTTCATCTACACAAATATCCTTGGTGATTTCAAGGATCTGGGTGGCCTCTAAACAAATAACTGCCAGCTTTGTATTTCCAGCCAAACCTCCACCCTGGGTTCCAGCTGTAACACTGTCCACCGACATCAAACTTCATCTGTTCCTAACTCTTAGTTCACGAACATTTTCTTTTCCCGGTCTCCCCCATGTGGCAAATAGCACCCCCATCCTTCCAGTTGCTCAGGCCAAGAATTTTACAGTCACCATTTCTTTTTTTCGTCCTCACTACTCAATGCAAATCCTCTTAACTCTACCTTACAAACATATTCCTAGTATGGCCACAGCCACCGCGTCCAGGGCCGTGACCCTGGTCCGTGCCACTGTCACTGATGACCTGGATTATTTCAAGCTGCTTTCTGTCTACTTCATTCTTCCCTCGCCCCTCATATATGCTCAGTAGCCTGAGAGAGCCTTTTAAAACGAACCTTTTTAGATAATGTCACCGTTCTACTCGTGACTCCCCAGCGGCTTCCATCTCATTCCAAGTGGAAGCTCAAGTCCCCACAGTGACCTGCGGGACCCTCCACACTCCTGCCTCCCCCTGGGCTGCGCCTCTGGCTGCGCTGTCCCCTGCCTCCCGTTGTCCCCAAGCCTCCCCCGCCCGGCTCCTGGGCCTCGGCTGCACCGCCGGCTGGGCCCTTCTCGGACGGTTCCTTCTCCTGAAAGGGGTCCCGCAGGCTCTGCAGCGCTGCTCGCCTCCTCCAGGGCCTTTGGCCGAATCTCCCCCCCCCCC